TTGAGAAAATGACTTATTAAAATAATTATTTTTTCATCTTGTTCACGTTTAGATAATTTCATTTTTTTGTATATATTTGATCATTTAACTTGTTAAATGTGTTCACATATTACCATTGTCACCTGCTATAGCAGGTGACAATGGTAAATATGTGAAATGGTAATATGTGAACACGTTTAATAAGTTAAATGGTCAAATGTGTATAAAAAAAGAAAGTTGTCTAAATGTGAACAAATTTTTTTTACAAATTTCTTAAGAATTTTAATAATTTCTTACAACATTTTATGATATTTTTTCTTATAGGTTTTTCTAATACAATGTTTTAAACTTTACTTATAATTTTTTTTTAAACTTTTTTTATACTTTCATATAGTTTAATACAAGTGCTTTTAAACCAAATATTTTATAAATATTTTAAAATTTTCTTACAAGTTTTTAACTTGTTTTTTTTACATTTTCATACAATTTTTTTATAAATTGCATACATTTATTTCTAAACTTTCTTTTATAATATTTTTAAAGTGTTTCACAGATTTTGTATGACAATTTAATATTTTTTTATAACATTTTAAAATACTTCCGTTAAATACTAGTTTAAAATGTTGTATTAAAAAATTAAAAGTTTATAAACTTCTAAAGAAAAAGTATTAAAAAGTTGGAATAATTTTAAAACATTTACATTATACAGATTTTTTTTTATTTGCTAAGTAATATTTTCTTTTTATTTTTTTAAAAGAACCTTCATATTTATTGTTACATATTTAATTTATTTAACTTTATTGTTAGATACTATTTACTTTAAAAATATTGTATATGCTTAAAAACAAAAGAAAAAGATTATAAGAGGCTATATAAAATATTTCACAAAACAAAAACATATTTATTAATTAAAAATTAAAGTTTAAAATTGATCAATATTTAATTAATATTTATGAAACTATGGATATTTTAAAAATGACGTTTGAAAAAATAATACAAACAAATATAAAAAATAAAATCGCTATTAAAAGTGGGGAAAATGACTTATCATGGTAATTATCTTTTCGTTTTGTTCATATTTAGACAAAAAAAAATTTACACATTTAACCATTTAACTTGTTAATTTGTTCATATATTATCATTGTCACCTACTATAGCCGGTGACAATGGCAATATGTGAACACATATAACAAGTTAAATGATCAAATGTGTACAAAAATAAAGAAGTTACATAAATGTGAACAAAACGATAAAGATAATTACCCTGGTAAGTTATTTTTCATTTTTATTTTTGTAATTTCGTTTTTGTTAATACCTTTATTTTTGTAATTTCGTTTTTGTTAATACCTTTGGACTTGGTCTCTTGCATGGTTTAGATTTTCAATTTTGCTAATAATAGAGAGGGGCTTATTAAACTCATTTATCATCATTCATTCTAAACTAAAGTATTGAAAGTTCATAGCCCAAACCAAAGTTCTAAACGTGTGTCCATGACAATTGACGAGTAATTCAAACTTGGATTGACTGTGACGTTAAAATGAACACTTTCTAAAACATATGCATTCAAGTTTATTTGATCTGTGAATATTTTAAATTTTATAGATACTTTATATTAAATATAATCATATAATAATAATAATAATAATAATAATAATAATAATAATAATAATAATAATAATAATAATAATAATAATAATAATAATAATAATAATAATAATAATTAAAAAAAAATTCACACAACAATTTAGAAGATTATAAGCATTTGCATTTACACGATTCCACATATATTACCATAATCTTTTTAGCTAAACAGATACAGTTTTATCTATTTAACCCTTTGATCAAGAACATTAACTCAAATGGATTATTTTTCAGTTTAAAATAAAATGGAATTATGCAACATGACATGTCCACCACATTCCTTCCCCTTGCCCACACTTGAAAGTTGAAACATTCCTCCTAGTATTGTGTTGATTGTTGACACACGGGAATGGGCCTCACATCACATGACATATGTCTTTGTTTTCTTATTTTTGGATTTTACCTCCAAACCATACAAAATTACAAATTTGCATTCATTCTAATTTGGTAAAGGATGTGTTTAATATGACATTTTATTTAAACTCAAACATATATGTACGTACGTATAATGACAGTTGAAGTTAGTATATGATATCAACAACTTACTCGAAAGTTCCATGGACCAATCAGAGTTTTGATAAACCATGGTGAAAACAATTTAACTTTCAATATAGTGACTTTGTCATCATCGGTAATACATGAAAAAAAAAATAATAAAATAAAATAAAAAATAATAATAATAATAATCTTGAAAAACCGAGTGTTATGGCAAACTGCCTACATCCATTCTTCAGATTCAATGTTTTTTGTTTTTATTTACCTTTCGTTTGCGATTCTTACGATTTTGATCATTTGTCTAACATTTTAAAAAATGATTATCAATAATGTTTTGTTGATTATGATATTTGAACTTTTGGTTGTAAAGAGAACCATCACTATAAACATATTTCCTTATAGCTTTGAACCCATTGTTAACTGGGTCAAGAAAAGGGGGGTCATATGTTAACGTTTAAAGTTAACTACGAGAATGCTTATGACTTTTTATCGTTGGATTATTTAGATCACATGGTGGAATTTATGGGTTTTGGCTCGGTGTGGAGAGGGTGGATTCAGCGCTGCCTTTCTTCGTTAGATCTTCAATTTTCTTGAGTGGAAATCCTATAAAAGAGTTTCAGTTTCATAGGGGTCTTAGATAGAATGACCTTTTGTCATGGTTTTTGTTCATCTTAGCTATGGAGGGGTTGCATCGTTTTCTTGTTTACATTTTGGATCACTACAGAAGATGATTGGATTAAGTGACTTGACAAGTGAATGGCTTGATAAATTATAAATTTGATTGGTTGCGTTAAATAACAAGTTTTTATAAATTTAAGCGATTTGGAATTGAATCATAAGAACTAAGAGAAATAGTAGATTGCCCAAAAAAATAAAAAATAAAATGTTATTCCATGCCATTAAGCTCTAGCCCTAGTTTTTGAGTCCTCGTATGTATATAAGGAAGTGAAGAGAAATGGAAGAAAACAGATAAATTTGTATGTTTTCGGGATTTTTTTTAGAGAATCGGAGAGAAAAAAAGAGACGCATGTTTATCTTCTCTCTTAATCTTTCCTCCAAAATTGAAAGATATTTGAAAGGAAAGAATTGGTATGTTTATCTGCAATATTTACCAACTTATACTTCTAACAAATGTATATATCCATCGTGTACATGCATCATCTTCTTCAGCAACGTTTGTATGTATCTGCTTGGCTGATCATGCATTGTCGTTACCAACTCAGAACTCCTTTCCTTTTGTTGTGAACTCATAAACACGACAATACAATTTTCTTTCTTTCCCCGTTATATCTTTTTGTCTACATTTTCATTTTCTCTTATTTTCTTTCTTTTTACTGAAACGTAGGAACTATTTTTTAATAAACTTAAATTATCCCAAAGCATGATGTTTCTAAATTCCAAAACTACCCTTAGGACAATTTTATAATCTCATAGGTTTCCGTTTAAATAAATGATAGAGCGAGAGCAGCTGAAAACGCGTTTCTTTATACGTATTTTCCATTATATAATTATAGTTTCTTCCATGCTTGCTTTTATATTTTTTCAAATAAATAAATATATTCTAAAAAATGGTGTTAAGTGTTAAAAGGGGTCTCCTTCTGCTGTTTGGTACATAGACCTTGATTAATTAAACAAAAGCATCCAACCAACCTCCAATCATTTCCCCACCCTTCTTTCACCAATTAATTGTCTTTATTTTTTCTTTAGTACTTTATTTTTTATCCAATTTTGGTGAGACCTGTCCCATTCAATATCAACGACGTCGTACGAAAGCATGCTAGATAGTAGCATTCTTTCTTGTAAAATGATAGGGACAGACTTTGAGGTTTGAAAAAAAAAACATCGGAGCTATTGGATAGTTTAAACTCAGAATTTTATTAATCTTAACCAACTGGTTAAATAATTTTTCTCTAATTATTTACATCTTTCAATGATTTTTATTTTTTCTAATATAATTAATCTATAATCATCTCTTTAAAATGTCTATAAAACATTTTATTTAATTAATCATTTTTAAACATACATTATATCTAAAATGTCATAAACAAACAAAAATATAAATACAATATGTCGGGTCTTTATTTAATATATATATATAATACAAAAAATTCATTACGTCATAGTTATAAAAAAAATTGAAAATGTTATATAATCAATATAAAAATAATATTGTATAAATAAATTGTCATTAAATATTCAATAAAAATAATTAATTAGTAAATAAATAACAAATATTTAAAACTAAAATATAACTGATAATGTAAAATGATTAAAAATGATGGGTTAGATGTATTAAACATAAAATGTATATTGAATTGTTAACCAATTAATATATATATATATATATATATATATATATATATATATATATATATATATATATATATATATATTAAATGGTCAATGAAAATAAACATATAAGTTGTATACTTTAATAATTTTAAATAGTGAATAAAAAAACAGTAAAAACTATAGAAAAGAACTCACATTAGAGATGCTTTTAGGTTGTTTGTTATGAAAAAACACAACTATTTTTGCATTTGGGCATGTTTGAAAAGTTATTTTTGAAACTGTTACTAAAAAACTAATAAGAATTTATCTAATATACTGCATGTTTATAAATGGAGTATAACAAATGTTAGATTTATTGTTATTTATGTTAAACTGGAATTAACTTGCTAAAAAATCTTTAGAATTTGGAAATTTTGGAAATAGATTTTGCGATAGTGGATACCACAGATGAAACGTTATAACCGTTTAAGAATTTCTGGATTGCTTTGCTTGTTGTCGAAAAACAAAATAAATGGTAGGACATAAATTCAAGTACAAATTGCCAAGAATCAACAAAGATAAAATATAAAATATAAAATTAAAGCATCGATTTATCAGCAAGCGTAAAAATCCACAAGCTCATGCAAAGCGTCAGGTTGAGGATCTGCATTCTCGATCATCCACAACAGATGTTCAAACAACACAACCTCGCACTCAATCGTCACATTGGTATCCCCATCGCCTGAACCTGAACGTTCCACAAGCTCTTGGAACAACGGGTGTTGGGCCACATCGGAGTTTATAAGGTAGCGCCGCCGTGATTTGCCTACATAGACAGCATGAGAATTCGAATGGGTCAAGTTCTGATGCAGGTAGTCATCCTCATCGGAATTGGACTTCGTCAGACCAGGTGGCTTCCCGTTCCCAAATGAATGTAACTTTTTTAGCACCGATTTGATCTTGGTTAGCTTTCCACCTTTCGCCATTGATTATCTATCTGAATTCTGAAACCCAGCTAAAACAGAGGGTTTTGGGAGTGGAGATATATAATGAGAGAGAAATAGAGGATTGAAGTTGGTTTCTTATATAGTATATACACAGCCAGCCTGTCGCTGAAATGGGATGGGATATGGATGTGGATGTGCGTCTGTGTCTCTCTGTAAATAAATATACATTATATATTATATATTATATATTGGTGTTGTTGAAACAAATTGGAGGCGTTTGGGGCCATTCTTCATTGTCTCATAAAATATTGCTAATTTGTTGTGATTCGTATGTGATTGAGACCTTCCAAGAACATGATATTATAATAAGCTATATAAATTATTAAAGGAGCTGAATGGACGAATTAGATGAGTAATTGTTAAGTGTAGGTCAAAACAAATTGAGATTAATTATCAATCATCAAAGTTTTATAACCAATAAGTATTATATTAAATAAACGGTTTAGGCAATCATTAACATCTAAATACACTTTAAGACAACTTTAGTTTGGTTGGTGGTGATGGACTTTGCCTATTAGATTAGATGATACATCTGTTTTGATATCTAATAAAAATCCATACCATTTCAGATTGTAAAGCATGCAAGAAGTTGCAAAAACTGGTAACAAAATAATCAAAATCTTTAAGTGATAGTCATAACAAGTTCTTTCTCTATCAAAAACCATTTTGGTTTTTTGTCAAAATAACATAACTTGCTATAGGTTTATTATCCAGCTTAACAATATGTTCTCAAGCAAAAAACATAGAGATGGAATGGGAAATTTTATATTCGACTATTTGTATTTCATACTGTCATCATGTGTTGTTTATGACACAAAGATACAAATTCAAAACAGAAAAACACAAACAAAGCTTGTGGCCAAATTCAATCTTTGACATCATTAACACCTTCTGTAGAAATCTGAAACCTAGCTTCAGCTTCAGCTAAACACGGGGAACTAATCACTTTGCAAATCCGCTCTTCCCCCCTTCCTTTCCTCAAAGCCAGCCTGTCACTCCATCAATAGCAACAAACTTTCTTAACTTCCATTAATCACAACATATGAATTTATCAATTATCAATTATCACATACCTTGTTGTAGAGGCATGAGCCATGATATTACCACCAATTGGTTTAATTTGAGGCCCTGCAAACATGGCTGAACCATCTACTTGGGCCACAACTTGATTAGTGATCACCACAGCTACACCAAACTAATAAACAAATAGTTTAGCATCCAGACATAATTTATATTGATAAAAAAAATATTATTACCTCATCTGCCAACTTCTGAAGGCTCCTCAAGAACTTTGCAAGATGCATCTGTCTGGCTGATAGTTCACCTCTACCAGAGAAATCAGTTCTATAAAGAGCAGTTGCACTGTCCACTATCATAAGCGCAAACCTTCAAACACAAACATATTTATAAACTCTTCTTTTTTTAAATATTATAATCTTATAAAAATACAATACAGATTTATTGATGAAAAAAAAAACCTGGTTTCGACCATCATTGAAGCAGCTTCAAGCAAGAGTCTTGATTGATGATCCGTGTTGTATGCTCTTGCATATGCTACATTCTCCAACACATCATTACCATTCAACCCAAACCTGCAACATGCAGCATGATAAGATAAATCTACAGAAACCAAAGGGCTGTTTCTTTTTGACTTAATGGGTTAAGCACTTGATCTAGAAAGCTATATATGGCTGTTTCTTTTTATTTAATCTTCAGATGGTTTATTCAGTCCAGAAAAGAAAAATTTTATGTATACAAAACTTTATCCAGACATACATCATTACCCATTCATCCACTTTACCCATTAAGGACTTAATAAGGGTTAAAAAATAATTGAAACACAATGATAGTGAGGAAACTTTGCACAACCTGTCAGCTATCTGTAAGAGTCTTTGTGGCCTGAATGTACCTTCAGCATCAATGTACATTGCTTTCCCCTCACCACCACCTTGATCTAATGGAAGCTGAAAGTTCAAAAGTAAAAGTTAGCATGTTTACTGAAAAAGAAATTAAAAAAAAAAATACATTCATACTTGGCAAGTTACACATAAAGTGTGACAAAGCTGAGTCTTTCCAGACCGAAACTCGCCATATAGCTCGGTAATAGATCCAGTCTCAATTCCTCCTGTTAAAGAAAGATAGTTATGGTAGCTTCATAGTAAGAAAAAAAGACTTTCTAAACAATGTTGCTTCTTTGATAAATTACAAGTTTGAATGGTATGTACCATCTAATATCTTGTCAAGCTCTCTTGACCCTGAAGATATTTGAATTATTTCAAGCCTTTGTTGATGGAGTTGGCCTGCACTAGTGAATCCCAAAGGGACCAATTTGGAAGCTGTAGAAATGCATAATGAAAGAATATTAAGCTTCAAGATTGTAGGAATCTAAAGATTAAAAGGAAAGGAAAAGGGAAAGTACACCACAAGAACAAAATGAGCATCATGACATACCTGCCTCGATAATTTTGTCAACTTTAGCTTCACTAATTCCTTTGATTTGCAGAAGCTCCTTCCGAGGAGAGTATGCTACAGATTCAACTGTACATAAACCAGCGTCTTTCAGCTTCTTTACATCAATGGCAGCGATTCCAGATGCCTTTAGGGTTTAATTGAAGTTTAAAGTTAGCTTCTATAGACTAAAATACTATCAACGTCGGTTGTTAACCAAAATTAGTAAAACCCCCGAAATGTTATTGTGGGTTTTGATCTTTATCGGACCCCCAGGAATGGGAATTGGCCAATTTAGCTAAATCTTGAAAAATCCATCAAGAAACACAAGATATAATCAAATTCCTAGCATCAGAAGAATCATATGTGAAAAGATAAGAGAAAAGATAAAAACCCTATTTCTAGATAAAACAAAAACAGTTGTATACAGGATAAAAAAGGATCGGAACAAACTCGAACACCCATTTAGTAATTTCAATAAGCAAACCCTTATTTTTCGGAGAGTGTTTTAGGGGGAAACAAACCACTAAAAAAGTTGAAAGAAACCCACTACAAGAACCCTAGTTTGAGCTAAATCTTGAAAAACCCGTCAAGAAACACAAGATATAATCAAAGCCCTAGCATCAGAAGAATCATACTTCAAAAGATAAGAGAAAAAGATAAAAACCCTGTTTCGATATAAAACAGAAGACAGTCTTTTACAGGATAAAAAATGGATCGGAATAAATTCGAATAACCATTTAGCAATTTTGATAAGTAAACCCTTATTTTTCGCAGAGTAGTTTGGGGGAAACACACCACTAAAGAAGTTGAAAGAAACCCACTACAAGAACCCTATTTTGATAAAAGAATAAGTTACGAAACTACAGATCGGATTAAATGGATGATGACATGCCTGAAGTTGTTCGACTGGGAAAGGGCCATGCTGCATTTCTTCTGATTGTTCATCCTGCTGCTGTTCTTGGTCTTCTTGGTGAGCCGTCTTCTGGTTTCTCTGCCTCTGCTCCATGGCTAAGATCAATTTGGGATCAGACGAAGAACTGTGCTCCCCAAATGAGTGAAATGGTGCCGAAGCTAAAGGGCAAGCAAGAATTGCATTTGAAAGGATCACCAGGCGCCAAATTAATGCGTATGCTGAAAGGAACGAAAATATGGAGCGGGTTTTTGCAAGGCCCGGAATTCATTTTTTTTCTTTTTTAGTAAATTACAGTTTTGGTCCCTGTGGTATCCAACTTTTAGTCCAACTTTTGAATTTTGACATGGATCGTGATTTCTAAAATTGGCACTTGTGGTCCCTACGGATGTTCATGTCTAAGATGCTTTGTTAAATGCATGTAAAAAGACATTTTTCCCTCGGGTTAACTTGATAAAAGTTACATATTATAGGGACCATTTATGTAAATAATTAGTTGAAATTTTTCCCTCGGGTTAACTTGTAAACTTTTGCAGCGCCACCACCATCATCCTCAACCCCATCTCTTGAGGACAGTAGTGTGGTAACAGTGGCACACAGCGTTGTTTTTTCTGTTGGATTAGGTGTCTAAGCTCATAACTATAATTGGTATGTACTTGACCCGAGAGTAGCATGGTCCATTTGGGTTGCCTTCACCAGAGCAATTTGATAGGATGGACTTTTGAGAAGAAGTTATTTATAATTTATTAATATATTATAAGTTCTAATATATTAATATGAAATCATATTATTTAATTAGTACTGATCAACAATTAATTTGGAATTAATTTAATGATCAAAAGAGACTAATTAAATTAATGGGGACTAATTGTGTAAATTAGTTATATAATATATTGTTTGGGCTTATGATACATGATGGACTAAGTTTATGAAAGAATCCATAAAGAGTTAGTCCATATGGATCATGGATCATGGATAATAAGCCCAAGGGTATGGATTAGGGTTTAACCATGACTCTTAGAATCCTACAATATATATATGTCACCCTATAGCTAAAATTGGTTACTACATATGTTCTAAGAGTTCATTTCAACCGATTTTATGTAAGGATATTCTCTCTCAAAAGTCCTACATTTGTTCACGGTGTTTGTGAACCATTTGAGGCATCACATTTGAGGTGCTAAGTTCTTAAAGGCCAAAATTACAAGCTACAACAAAGAGGTAATTATATAACTCAATTCTATGTTGTTTATGTCAATTGTATGCTAGTTGTAGGCTTCATGCTTTGGAAACAATATTGCATGTATAATTAGAGAAAACATATATCCAAAGCAATTAGGGTTGTATGTGCACCATAGGATGTTGTAGTATACAAAACTCAACAGTGGTATCAGAGCCTAGGATTGTTTTCTATTATATTTTATGCATGGCTTATTTTCAAAGCTGAAAAACTGCTCTGACAGCACCTACTTGACGAGTACATGATTGGACTCGACGAGTAGGTTGTTTTTTGCCTTGAACTCGACGAGTCCATAGTTGGCTCGACGAGTTGGATGATCAGACAACAGTTTTCAGGATTTTTGGCCTGTTTTGGATTAGGATCATTACCACAAAATGTTTTAGTTCATAAAATTTGATTTTGTTGGTATGGTAATAATTATACTCATCCAATCAAAAGATAATTGTCAAAATTTCAAGATTTGTATTAGTTTATATAATAGGCTAATTTTTTGTAAATTGTTGATATGAATTGTTTTGACTTATGAGTTTAACTAGATCATAAAATTATATGATAATTTAGCTTGGTAAAATTGATCTTAAATGGTTTTAAAAGTCCTCCATAACTTGTCCTCAAGTTATGGAACATGAAAAGTTTTTCATAAAAAAACACATTAACTCATAAGTTATGGAAATCAAAGGTTTTTCAAGAGTTACAAAACTTACCCTCAAGTTTTGGTATTTGAAAAGTCTCAAATTATAACTCTTGTAATTAAAAGGTGTAACTCTTGGGTTCATAAATTAAAAAAATTAATTAAATAGTTTTTAATTTTGACTTTTTTATATTTAGAACATTGATGTTTTTGAATAATTCAAATTACACCTTATGGGCTTTATTAAATTAATTAAAGTGTTTAATTGAAAGAATTAATAATTCCATAATGACATGGTTTAAGATTAATTAAATTAAGAGTATAATTTATTAATAGATTAAACCATCTAGTATTTTAAAAGTTTAAAATACACCCTTATACTATATATATAAAATTAAAAGTTTAATAATTATATATGTATAAGTTAAAAAGTCAGTCTTACCGTTAGTAGGCCTCATTCACGAAGTCGGTCTATAAGGGGTATAAGGTTACTGCCTATAAAATGATGGTTTAATGAGTGTCCATTCTCACCCACCGCTTCCTTGACTGGTGGAGGGTCGTTAGCCGAACGGGTAGGATAGGACATTCTCATTAAAAGTATAATGAATACTTTAAGTAACTAAATGTCTTACAAATTCCCAATCTTAGTTACTTAGGAAAAATATGAATTTGGTGCTAACCCATGAAATTGCACTTTGCACCTTGTTAAGGCGTTAGTGGAGCGTGTGTGGTTAACCGGCACACTAATCTAGGACTGGCAATGTGTGGCAAAGGGTAGCTTGATGTTTGTCATAGATCAATGGAGCGTGTGTGGTTAACCGGCACATTGATTAGGTGATAAATGACATCGAGAGTACCAAGCTAATTTGCATGGTTATTCACACCTTGTTTGTGATCCTCGGCATCCCAGTCACAAACTTGATGGGCACAATCGAGATTTAAACATGTCATTGAAAAGTTCAATGAATCTCAAAAGAATCTAGGAATTTCAATTCATTTAAAACTTAATAATCAATTTCGTTTTTCATGATTTACCTACCTTCAAATAATTTGCAGTTGGATTACGGCATCCCTCTTACGATTTGTAAATTATTGTGTTGGGTCCTAGCCTTAATATTTCATTTGGGTGTTATATTAAGGACTTAAATCAACTAACTTGAATTTCTCCCTTGTAGATGTCTAGTTCAGACTAATATGGTCTTCCGGAATCCTTTCTTTATAAAGATCATATTCCACAAGACGATCGAGGTGAGAGATTAATCCCTTCTTTGTGTTGTAGTAAAACTTCTCTTCCTCCACCTCCTCCAATAATTCTCCCTGGCCCACAAGTTCAAAGACTTGAAAAAAATCAAAGTCACTCAAGCCTTATTGGCTAGCAAACACCTAGATGGAAGGTCTGTGTGTGCACATGTCTTGGAGATGAAGTCACACATTGACATGCTGGGAATGTTGGGTGTCATTGTTTCAAGGAAGTTGGTTGTTGACTTGGTTCTTCAATCACTTCCTAAGTCATATAGCGGGTTCTTTAAGGACTACTATATGGGAGATCACGACATGACCCCTATTGATTTAACATATTTGCTTGTTGCTGCTGAATCAGCGATGATTTGGCGCACTGGTGATGCAAATTTGATTGGAAGATCTATTTCCCAAACTTCCATGGACATTGACAATGGCAACATTGGAAGTCCAGAAAAGCTTTCTCTTCCCAATGGAAAGGGATCGACCATGGTCAAGTCATTTGACCAAATGGTAAAGAGAAATGCTAAGTCTGAGATAGTCCCATGTACCATTCCCAAAGAGTCCATATGTTTCTATTGCCAAGAGAAGGGGAATTAGTTGCGAAGCTGCCATATTTACCTGAAAGATCGCAAGGATGGTAAAGTCAAAAAGTTTCACTCTACTTCAGGTAAATCCACTATCTAACTCTATTGAGTTCTTATTTAGAGATTCTTAATACATGATGTAATGTAATTACATTTTGATGTTTTGTAGGATCAAAGGAATGAAAGGAAACTTAAAGGAAGACTAAGATGATTATGATCGTTAAGAGATGGATTTCGATTGCATGGTTCGATGATCAGAATTTTGAGCTGTTGCTTAAGAGTTATGATAGATTGCTTAGGAATAGATAACAACATAGTTTTCATATGTATTTGCATTGTAAGGAAAAGTTTTCCGCAATTTTAATAAATAAAAGATAATTTTTGATTTTATTTTATTTTAAGTTTCCTTACAATGGCATTTATGAAAATTGTTGTTTATGTGTTTCCATTGATAGCAACATTGGAAAATGGATTTGATTCTTTCGTTTGTGGTAGTGTCAAGATTTACCAAATAAGGAAAGATTCTCATCACCCAAGTTTCAGTTGGATGGAAACTTGGAATCATGCAACTTGTATTGTGTGATGAATGAGAACTTCATATTTGGGAAATTAAGACTAATTCCTTGTTCACATGTATATGTGAGTCAAGTGAAGGACTATGGGATCGGGTACACTTGGTTGTGCGTTGATCAGGTCCACCACAAAGAACAATAAGACTATTCGTTATTATTTACTAAAGTTTAATAAATATGGTTATGCTTACAAGATTAAGTGTAATTCTGAATCATTGGAAAAGCTTCAATGTATGGCAGAACGAATAAGAAGAATCAAATTAGGCAGAAAGATAAAAGTTTCTCCAATTTGAGAAGAAGGGAGAGTACTTTAGTATCGTGTTTTATGATCATCTTAGTGATTATGAAACCATATCACAATTGATCATCTAAGGACATCTTAGTGAATTTGTATGGCTAAGAAGAGGAATCGTGAATTGTTGAAATGGTTAAATCAAGAAGATAAATCATACTTCGTTCCAAAATCAGGTCTTAGAGTAATACTCCAAGATTGTAACTTGAGTGACATGGTCTTAAGAAAGGTTTATAACACTCATGACGCATCAAATGTAGAGTAAAATGTTTCTTACTCTTGTACATTTGAAGTTGTGATGTTTTGGATAAGACAAAGACCAACTAAGACCAATTGTGAGAAGTGTTTATCTTGATAAGAAACCGCACTAACTCTTGAATATTTTTTGTCAAGTAATGTTTCTTGACAAAGAGAATCTTATATGTCAAGAGGTCAGTGGGAGTCTTAAAGATCTTGAAAAGTTTCAAGAACTAATCAAGAATGAAACTATTGTTTATCACTAGCACACGACTTGAGGTTTGGAACCTATAGTGTT